GGGGGGGAGGGAGCTTGCAGTTTTAACAAGAAATGCACTACTGTTAATGTATAGTAGATAAATTATTTATTATGAGGAGGATGTAGTTTCCAAAGGACTCTCCCTTTTATCTGCATGCAGTTTGCAACAAATGTATCCTCACCCTCCTGGCTGACAAAAGGAGAGTGAGGTCATATTTTGTTAATGAAATAAAAACATGGACTGCTACGTGTCAGTGGCATGAGCTTTGGAATGGTGATAGGAGGAAGCCATCTCTCTGCTGACTCATGCCAGTGGTCTGGAATAAGGCTGCTCCCCGCTGTGTGCAGCTCTTTCCTCTGAACATCCTACGGTGTTGTCTACGAACCCCAAGTTCACCTGTGAAAGAGGAGCTCGCAGTTAACCAATGTAATTGTGTATAAATCACAATGACTCAAGAGCCATTTGGGGGCCCAAGTGAGCTAGAAAAATATTGGGTTTCTCCTTTGCTATGCTACTCTTTCATAAGAGGCTGTAGACCAGTGAGAAATCCAAAAAGAGCCAAGATTCTAGCTGTGACCCATGAGAATGATGCCAGCTTGCACGGGATCAGCACTTCATATACATACATACATACATATGCATATATAGATAGATAGAGAGAGAGATAGATATCTTTGTGAACAACTAGTGGTTAGGTGCTTGAATACTGAAAGGATGGAATTCTGAGTCCACCCATAGGCACTTTGGAAGAAAATCCTAATGACCTACTTCTGGAAAAGCAGTCATTAAGAACCCTTCTGCAACATAGATCCACCATATTCCACAGGATAAACTAATACGTATCATGGAAACTCGCTCAACAGCCCTGTAAGTTATGCAGGGCACGGGTTTTAATTCCCATTTTGCAAAAGGGAAACCTAAAGCCCCAGAGATTGTACAATTAACCTGCAATGCTCCCTACATGCAAACACAGATGCTGCTTAACAATTATGTACACACTTAAAAATATCATTTTATAGGCATATAAGTCATGTATCGTACAATATGATCATTCAATCATATTAATAAGAGTTGTACAATCATCAGCACAATCAGTTTCAGAACATTTTCTATTTGCACTCAATGTTGTTAGCTCTCCATTTCCCCAGAACCTCACCTGCCATGCCTTTAAGTAATTACAATCCAGTTACTGTCTCTACCCAGGGTTTCCTAGACACAAAACCCATGATACCAACCAACAACAATGACAAAACAAAACAGAGAAAAATCTCAATTGAAATGAAAGCAGAAAATATTTAAAACTTTTTACATAAGGTTTGCTGCACTCTGGTGGCCCGATGCTTCAGCACTTGGCTGCCAACGGAAAGACTGGTGGTTTGTACCAGTGGTTCTGTGGGGAAAACACTTGGTGATCTGCTCTGTAGAGATTACAGCCAAGAAAACAATATGGGGTCCTTCTTCTCTGTCACATAGGGTTGCTGTGAGTCAGAATCAACTTGAAGACGTCCAGCCATAAATTAAGCTTTTTTTGATATTTGAGAACATTTAGGATCGAACCATCTCAGACATTCTTGGAAAAGACATTGCTTCACATTCTGGAGGCTTGCTGTTCTTACGTCTCACCACAAATGGTAAACGACCGTGAGGACTGTGGCAGGAACAGCATGAATGCAAACCAAGAGTCCTGCTAGTGTGTGAACCTTGGACCCCAAATCTGCGAGACAACTGAAGGGAGGGAACTCATCCATAAGAAAAGCGGTATATATATATATATATATGAACACTCAAAACTCGGTGTTCTCTACTTCACCCACAAACTCTTACTGCCCCCTAAGTTCATGGGGAAATTGAGGCAGAAGCAACATTCTAGATTTCTTCTATACGTTTGTGTTCCTCCCTGAACTATGTAACCACTTTAAGTACGGTTCAAAAGGAGCTCAGGGGTGTTGGTCCATGAATGCCCGCCTGGCCCAGGAAGATGACTATTGCTGCTGCTACTGGGAATACCTTCCGTTCTGTTACACTTGAGAGCTGAGATCTAGGAATTAATGCATATAATATTTCCTCACACACAGCACCACGAGTCACTTGTCGCTTGTTTTGTCAATGAATAATTGGAACACAGAATGTTTAGTGCATGCAATCACGTGGGGTTTTTTTTTAAGGCAAAGACCCAGAACCCTCATGGTCATAGCCTTCATTCTGTGTTCATATCCATTCTTGTGCCCACTGAAACTTGACTAAGTAATTCCTTTCAAAATCTGCAAATAAAATTTTTTTTTCAAACATAAACCAATAAGTGGGGTGAGTATAAGTTCTGAGGATTTGTACTCCTGGCAAAACCCTAACCAAGTACCCAGACAGGCTCTTCCATCCCTTCCTTTGTATCTTCCCATCAACCAACTGTGGCTCTGGGTAGATTAGCTGGAACAATGGAGCACTTAGGAGTCATTAGGGTGCCCTTTGATTGCTCTTGGTGGGTTACCTGCCTCACCTGAAGCAGCTCAGCTTGTTCATTAGCCCTTTCCCTTTCAACACTACTCTGACAACTGGAATGCTACACTTCCAAAGAAGCTTGGCATGATAAGCTTTTGTTTCATCTGCGCTGTGACATTAATCTAGGAAGGGAGAGTCTCCGCTTTTCCTGGATGTTTGATTTTCTAAATTTTGCTGCTATGCAAATAGCAACGTCTCTCATCTTTTCCTCGGGGACACAGTTGTGGATCGCTCTATTTTCCTCACTTACTCGCTCTCTGCTGCCGGAGGGAGGCAGGGCTTCAGAGGAAACAGATGCTGAGTTGCTAAGTCAAATCTATTTTCTTAAAGATAATATTGAACACCAATGTCTTTTGTATCGTTCTAATTCAACCAACCAGAAAGATAGATGTTATTAGCTTTATTTGAATCCATCATGAGTAGAAAAATCTGGCAATGATAGTTACTTATAAGTGGAGAGTAGGGCCTAGTTGGGGGCTGGGGAGTAGAATATCATTAACTGAGGACATGTCTTTCAAAGGCTGCATGGCCATTACAAGAATACTGTTTTCCTTAGACACTCTGGATCTGGGCACAAAGTTGGCAGAGTGTCCGCCTTGGAATCACTTGGCACGCTTGTTCAAAGTGCATAAAATCTGTCTTCAACCGAGGCCCTTTCTGTGAAGCTTGGGAATCTCTCATGGTGACTTCTGTGCACTGAAGAATGTGGGTCTAAGGTCTGTAACCGTAAAATGTGAGCCCAAGTTAAATGTATCCTAGCATCTAAATTGTATTCTAAATTCCGTTAGAGACCATCTTGAATCTTTAATTATATGGCAAAGAGATCTACCTCAAGCAGGCTTGGTAGAAGAATGGGTAAGTGCTAAACAAAAGGCCAGCAGTTCAAACTCAGCAGCGCTCTGTAGGTGTGAAGGATGTGGCGTCTGCTTCTGTCAAGATTGCAGCTGTATCCCAAATAAGATGGCTGAAGACAAATGGGTGCATAAGCAAATGTGGTGAAGAAAACTGATGGTGCCCGGCCATCAAAAGATATAGATAGCATCTGGGGTCTTAAAGGCTTGAAGGCAAACAAACGGCCATCTAGCGCAGAAGCAGCAAAGCCCACATGGAAGAAGCACACCAGCCTGTGCAATCACAAGGTGTTGAAGGGATTAGGTATCAGGCATCATCAGAACAAAAAAATCAAATCATTGTGAATGAGGGAGAGTGCGAGGTGGAGACCCAAAGCCCATCTGTAGGAAACTGAACATACCTTTACAGAAGGGTCGCGGGGAGGAGATGAGCCAGTCAGGGTGCAGTGTAGCAATGATGAAACATACAACTTTCCTCTAGTTCCTAAATGCTTACTCCCCCCACTATCATGATCCCAATTCTACCTTACAAATCTGGCTAGACCAGAGCATGTACACTGGTACAGATAGGAACTGGAAACACAGGGAATCCAGGATGGATGACCAACTTCAGGACCAGTGCTGAGAGTGATGATACTGGGAGGGTGGGGTGTAAAGGGGGAACCAATTACAAGGATCTACATATAACCTCCTCCCTGGGGGACGGACAACAGAAAAGTGGGTGAAGCAAGACGTCAGACAGTGCAAGATATGACAAAATAATAATTTATAAATTATCAAGGGTTCATGAGGGAGGGGACAGAGGGAAGGGAGGGGGGAAAATGAGGAGCTGATGCCAGGGGCTTAAGTGGAGAGCAAATATTTTTAGAATGATGAGGGCAATGAATGTATAAGTTTGCTTTACACAATTGATGTATGTATGGATTGTGAGCGGAGTTGTATGAGCCCCTAATAAAATGATTTAAAAAAAAAAAAGATTACAGCCATGGAGGTGCATGAA